GTTCGGAATTTAGAAAATAAAGTAGTAACAGATCGAGTCTTCTTTTTATGAAGTGAAGAAGAAGATGAAGGTGAAATTAATTGTTGTACATCATTGGGTAAATCTGAATATTCTACTTTTTTAAAATAGGTAGATGGTATTTCAAATAATTGATTATTTGATATCTCATTCACTTGATATCCATTATTATTATTATTATTGATATTGATATTGATATTTCTATATATAATGATGATGATGATTATTATGGAGATGACAATAATAATAATATTATTATTTAATAATGATGATGATGGTAATAACATTCATTACATTCATGAAAGATAATAATAATTATTATAATTTAAAGATAACACAAATTCATCTATTAAATAATAAATATAAATTTTAATAACATACTTGATTAAATGTATAAAAGTACCCTTTGTTTTATAAATATTATTCTTATTATCAATAAAATCACTTGTTAATTGACCAAATTGATCATTTTCATCAAGTGATGACATTTGTCAGTTGTTTTTTTATTAAATGTCAAAATGATATCAATGGTCATGTCTTCCTTCTCTCGATTTCATGGTCGCTTCGAATGACTTGAAAATTGATCGAACGTCACTCTTTCATTTTAGAAAGTTTATTACTATTTTATATGGTCATTGATTTGGTCAACTATATTCTTAATTATCCCAATTAGAATCATGATTGTACACTTTATAATTGAATATTTATCATTTAATATTATAATTAATTGAATATAATATTGAGAAAACATTTAATATTTATATATTTCAAAATTAAATTCAAAGTCATTTCAATTAAAGAAATTTGAGAATCTAATAAATACGATATCTCTCTCCATACATACAATTCGAGATACATTCCATTTATATATTTCAAAAGATCAACAATAACAACACATAAAACAATAACAATACAACTAATTATAACTGAAAATAAGAAATTTAAACTACTACTATTATCACTTGAATACCAATTTAAAAAATCAAAGAAAAATACACTCAGTAATGAATTAATTACTACAACAACAATATCATCATCATCATTAAATAATTCATCATCATCAACTACTACTTTATCATCTAATAAATCACAATCAATTAATATAAATAATAGTGATAATAATAATGATAATAATATGATGATAATGGATTGGATAAATAAGAATGAAAATATTAATGATATTTATTCACCCATTTCATCTCCTCTTTCTCCTCCTAAAATATTATTTTTATTAAATAATCAAAATAATCAAAATAATCAATTTAATAATAAATCATCTACATCAACTTGTATTAATTTATTTAATAATATAAATAATAGTGATAATAATAATAATAATAATAATTCAAATAATAATAATATAATTGAATATTATAAAAAAATAATTGATAAAATTGATCAATTTGATTTTGGAATATTAAATACTATATTATCATATTATTTATTAATAATTGATGATTGGTTTATTTGTAATTATTTATTTAATAATAATAATAATTATATTAATTTATTTTATGGAAAGAAATTTAATTTTATTTTTCAATTATTTCCTTCTATTTATATTAATATTGAAAATAAATATTTTATTAATTATTTAATTGATTTAAAACCAATTATAAATAATTGTGAATTTATTATTTTTAATAATTTAGATCAATTAAATAATTTTAATTTTAAAAAATTAAAAAGTTTTTCATATTTAAATAATTATAATATTAATAATTTAAATATTCAACATGTATTTGGTAATTCATTAAATACTTTACAAAATTTAACATTTACTTGTAATTTTAATAATATTAAAAAATTAAAATTAAATTGTAAAATGTTAGAAGATTTAGATTTTAATTCAATTAAAAATATAGAAATATTAACAATACATTTAAAATATCCAGTTATAGAAGAAAATAATTTAAATTTAATAAATTATTTAAAAAATCAAAAATGTAAAGAATTAAATTTAAATTTTAACATGACAAAATATTTAAAATATTTTAATGAATTTAATTTAATTCAAACATTATCAATACCATATTGTTTATTTAATGAAAAATTTAATTGGAAAATATTTAAATATTTAAATAATTTAACTGTAAATTTTAATGAAAAAATTCAATTTGAAAATTTAATTTCTCAAATTGGAAATCAATTAAAAAAATTATATTTAATTTTAGATATAGATGAATTTACAAATGATTCATTTATTAATTTTAATAAATTTTGTATTAATTTAGAAGAATTACAATTAAGTGAAATTAATTTGCATATTTCAAATGAAATTAAAAATTCAAATTCAATTACTATATTTGGATGTGATACAATTATAGCAGATTTAATAATTTTAACAAATATTTTATCAATTAAAAATATTTATAGATTAGATTTAAAAATTAATTCAATTTATTCATTTTTAGAATTAAATTTAAATAATTTATATTTAGAAATTCAATATTTTTATAATTTAAATTCTAATTATCAATTAAAAAAATATAATAATATAAATAAAATACAAAAATTAGAATTAATTTATAAATATAATGAAAATATTAATGATTTAACATTTTTAACATTTACAAATATAGAAGAATTAATAATTAAATATGGAATATTAAATACATCTTTATTTAGTCAATTATTATCATGTAATAATATTAAAAAAATAACATTTTATAAAACTGATTTAAATAATATTATTTTTAATAAGTTAATTAAATTTAAATTTATTAATTTTATTCAATGTAATTTAAATTTAAATTTTTTAAAAACATTTAAAGAATATTATGATAATATTAAATTAAATAATGATATAATATTAGATGGATATTCATTATATTTAACAAATACATTAAATATAAATATTAAACAAAATAATTTAATTGATTTATTTAATGAAATTAATTATAAACATGAATATTTAAATAATAATAATAATAATTGTATATTACAATAAAATTATGTTTTATTGCATTTTTTTTGGAATTATTCAATTAGAAGTGTTTTACAATAAAAATATTAGATGTGATAATGTTTCGATCGTGTGACCAGACTCTCTCTTCATAATCTTGGATAAGTTGACAATCACTGATTTCCCAATTCTTCTTTGATTCTACTGGTAGGCACATTTCTAATCATATATTCACAAAGAAAATGGGATGTAATATTGAACTTGTTGCAATTGAACAAAATCCACCTTCTCTTTTCACTTGAGACTCAAATTAAATTTGGAGAAATTGTCGTAAAAGATTTGAATTTCTTACCAAAGAGCCTTTTTTTTGGAAAGGGTGATGGTGTTGTGGGTGTCTTGTGTTGCCTTAGCAGTTAAAAAAGTGCAAACTAGCTTTTTTGTTAACTATTTTTATTACAAATATGTGAAAATTGTTTGTTAGTGAGAGGTGATCAGGATTAAATTTAGAGAGCGAAAACACCCAAAACAACAGCCAAAGCAAACATAGCCAAAGCACTGACTTGATTGATAACACCAGAATTGTAACAGTTAGTTGTTGGATAAGTGGAACAATCAGGTTGTTTGGTACCAAGTTTAGCATAATCGGAAGCACATTCAGTATTCAACTTTTCACAGAAGGACTTGCAGACATTGATTCCATAGTTTGAAGTACTGATGAATTGTTGATTGCTTGGTGAACATTCAGCACATATTTGTTGCTTGTAATATTGACGACATGAAGATGAAACACCAAGATTAGAATAAACAGTGTCAGAATTTTTCTTACTTGTAACTTGACCAGCAGAACAACATGAGGAAGTCTTGAGAGAAGTTCCACAGAAATCATCACAATCAGTACAAGCAGTTGCATTGTATGAAATGTTTCTATTCAAACATGTTTGAGCAGAAACAACAGTGTTGAAGAATGTGACCAAGAGGAGAGTGCAAGCAATGACACATAAGAATTTGACGGACATTTTGATTTGTTTTTTTTTCAATTCCTCAACAAGATGTTTTACCCTTAATAAATTTAAGGCAAATCATCCAACCCAACCAGTTGATTATTACAATTTGTTTTGTTGTGGGATTTCTTGTGCGAACATTTCTGCTCCGATTTCTAACAAATTTAATCAAAGCCTTTATTATTGTGTGATGTGATGATGGATACAAACAATATTCAACAAGTATACCAAATATCACAATATTCATATCGATTTGACTAAAATTGAACGAGTATTTACTCTGTAAATATGATGACATTCTGTTTTCCACTTTTTTAAACTACCACTACGACCACATCCTTTACGACTATTCTTTGAACGTGTCATCAAAGATCTCTTTTTTTTGTATTATTAATAATTGACATGAAGTATGAAGGCTTCATGTTGAAATGGAATGTTATCAAATAAATATTTATTATTATAATTTTATTGTCTTAATTGAACACCAATTTTCAGATTTGTTGGTTTACTTGTGAGTGAAGTTTCAATTCCGATCGGATCCTTAATTTCATCATTCAATAATATAAAATTACATTTTTGTAATAATCTAATAATAACTGATGTAATTTCCATTTGTGCAAATTTATATCCCTTTTTTTAATAATTTGAATTTTGATATAAATACATTACAATAATATTTAAAAATATTAAACTTACAATACATCTTCTATTTCCAGAACTAAATGGAATCCATTGATGATTATTTTGTACAAATTCCTTTTCTTGTTGTGTTTTAAATCTGTTAGGATTAAATTCTTGTGGATTTTCCCACAATTTTTCATCTCTATTAACATCAATTAAATTAATATTAATTTGAGTTCCTTTTGGAATTTCATATTCACCAATGATGGTATTTTTTTTAGCAACTATTTTATCAACTTCAAACACAGGTGGATGAATACGTAAACATTCCATGACAACACTTGTAATATATTCAAATTTATCAAAATCATTATATGTAAATTCATTATTTCCTAATAGGGTATCAATTTCATGTTGACATTCTTTTTGAATATTTACATGTTTAGAAAGTTCATACATTAACCATTGAAGTGATGTTGAACTTGATAAAAATAATTTAAAAATATATTAAATAAATTAAATATAGTATTAAATATATTATTGTAAAGTATTAATAAATATATTAAATTTGTAAATATAAAACATACCTTGTATCATAACCAGCCAATGAAAACACAAGTGCATTACTCTTCAATTCACCTCTAGTTAAAACTGAATCTTGTAAATTAGCTCTAACAAGTAAACTTAATAAATCTTTTCTTTCATCCCAATCAATTTCATTACTATTAAATGTACTAACACTATTAGAATCATTATTAGAATTAATATTATTAGAATTATTATTAGATGATTGTTTAATTTCATTAATTCTTTCATCAATCATATTATCAATTGATTGACCAATATAATCCAATGCTTTACCAACACTTGTTAAATTAAGTAATAATTTATAGAGAAGAGGATATTCATCTTGTTGAACAAATCTTCTTAATACTAATGCTCTTCTCCAAACAATTTCCATATTTGAAACAAATTCATTTCCCTTATTCATTTCATTGGTATAAAGTTGATTCTTTTTTGAATCAGAATCTAAAAATGTTGGTACTGTTTTCATACCAAATCCACCTGCTAATAATACTGTCATGGTTAATTCAGAGAAATCTTCAATATTAATTTGAACTAGCTGTTGATTATTACCATTTTTAGAAATATTACTATTAATAGAAATAGTATTATTATTTAACAATTTAATCCATCTTTCAATTAACATATCACTTGCTTGATTTGAAATTTGACAAACCAATTCTAAATTTTTAGCAGAAAAAGCAGGTGAAACAATTCGATGATGTTTCTTCCAAATTTCATGATTTGGAGCTGATAATAAATTTTCACCATAAATTCTAAAAGCCTGATAAACATAATTAGGTTTATCAAAAGTATTAGCTTTTGTAATATTAACTTGTTTAATTAAATCTCTATCCAATAACCAAATCATATTTTGATTACACATTGATAATCTAAAGATTTTACCTTCACCTCCAAATTGGAAAGATAATTCTCTAACTTTATCAGCTGTTGTAAAATTACAATAATTTGCAATGAGTGGAATGTGAAATGGTGTATAAATTATTTGCCAATAACCTGGTATATGTTTTACTAATTTTACATTTTTATAAACTCTATATAATATATTAAATATATAAAATATTAAAATGACAAGTATGGCAATTAAAAGTGTATTGATAATACTGTATGGCAGTGTTGTTGTTGTTGTAGCTGACATTTTTTTTTAATGGATGATGAACCTGCTTGCTAATGATTGATGCACTTCATTGTGATCACAATAATAATGAGAATTGTTTTTCATTTTGTAATGAGATGAGTTGTTTGTGAATTGGTCTCTTCATTAAATTGCACAAATGGAGAATTTACCACTATTGATTGTATGACTATTTGGGAGTAAAAATCATTTTACAAATATTTCAATTATTTTACTGTAAATTGTAGTCAATACAATGGAATGAACAAATAAATTTGTTTTATTAAGGTGTTTTGGAAAATCCCTTCAATTTTTTCTCAAGAATCGAATGAGTTTCTATCCGAAAGTGTGTTAATTTTTAATGTCTACCGATTGGAATCTATCAAACACAACTATTAATATTCTATCATACCATTCAACTAATTCAAAGAATAAATGAATTGATTACTTACAGTAGAATTGAATGAAGAAACTCTATTAGAATGTTGATCATCATGTTTTTTTGAATCTTTATAATCCAATGGCTATGGACTTTCAATAATTGAGAATCTCAAGCAGTGGAGAATCATAAGAGTAGTAGAAGTGGAGAGTGAAACAACTCGGCAAACAACTTAATATATCCAAAAATGGAAATTAAGATGGCTACCTATGATTGTGGTTAGAGGACAAATAGGGATAATGGAATAGGTTTGGAGAATCCTTAAACTTGTTATCCTGATCATAATTTGAGTTATGTACCAAAAGAGAAGATACCTAGGTATTAACACAATATAGAACCTAACTCCTTGAGACAAAAAAGGAATTTAAATTGATTCGTGCGAGTGAAAACAGTTCATTGATTCTGAAATAAGCTCAAATGTGCTGTTCGCATGTTTAAAGTGGGGTTCCTTCAATAATTCCATCCAGTTATTAGGAGTAGCACTCGGGCTTAACTCTATTCGAAATTAATAAGAACATCAACCAGAAGGTAAAGAAGAATTTTGTTTTATTATCAAGTTGAGTTCAACCTCATAAAGAATAATAGTAAAGTTTTTAAAGAGTGAAATGACCTTCAAAATAGCAGGTTCTCTTTGTTTCTCTCTTTCATAATTTTAAATCAGATGCAAATTAGCATGAAGTTTGACTTTGCAATGTAATAAAGGTAATAAATTGCTAGTGCGCAGTTTCATTGGCCATGTGAATAAGAACTCTATCTTGCAATTCAAATTCCTCCAATTCAAAGAATGAAAATGTATTAAATATACTCAATAGAAATGAAAGAAGAAACTCAATAATGGTGTCTATCATTTTTTTTACTAATCTGTGAAAATTTTAGTTTATCCTCGATGTTGTTTAGTTGGTAATTGGAACAATTCCAAATGGCAACAATAATTTTGTGGAGTGCTGCAAGCACATGCAATTTACCATTTGCTTCGCTCTTTACTTCCAAATTGTTGTGCTACTTCGATTTATGAGCATATTCGAATCATATCACATTAGAAAGAATCATGTATAAATGAATTTGGACATTGGCTCCAAATAGTTGAATGGGTAAGGTGGTTTGGTTGAATGATCATTGTTAAAATCGGTTGTTGGTTGCAGTTATTGTATTGTGAATGAAACTAACCGAAACATTCTCTGTGTTTCTCCAACATGCGCATTTGAGATTATTTCAACATTATAATGATTCATGAGAATAAGAGTATTTATTTTCGACAGTACTTGATTTTCTTTTGAAATCTTAATGGTGAATAGTGTTCATTGTTTTTGGAAGAGAAAAAGACCTACAACGCTGGAGGTTCTCAAAGAAACTTTGCTTTCTCTTCTTCAATTATACAACTATTCGAAATCAGTTTTAACATGGTTTTAATAACTCATCAGTTCAAGAGAATCTATTCGTCTAATCATATGAATGAGAATCCTATCTTGCATTTCAAATTCCTCCAATTCAAAGAATGAGAATGTGCTAAATATACTCAATAGAATTGTCAGAAGAAACTGTTTAATGGTGTTTAACATTTTTGTTTTGTTTGGAAATTGAAGTATTTTGTTGGTGTTGGTGTTTTTTTCATTGAGGAAATGTTGATAAACTTTATTGGATTTTGGCCAAAAACTTGCCGGCCTCGAATTGAAAAGATACGCCACAAAAATGTCTTATTCTTGAATCCACCCCAAAGAAGCATATATGGATAGAGAATGCATTCTGTTCGGTTACTGAGTGTAAAACATGAAGTGACTTGTATTATTTCCATATAAGGATCATCCTTATAATTTCTAATCGAATAACATTTGTTTCTGTATGATAGATTATGTGTTATCTTGTATAAGTTAGGAAAGTGACGCAAATGACCATTAGATATGGACACATTAATGGATACGTGAGTTTCAATTAAGTTGAAAGAGTAATTGTTTCTGTGCAATAAAGCCATTGAAATAAAGTGGCCACCATATGCTATTATCTTTCGAATAATTACAGAATTGTGAGATTCACACCTGAAAGCATGAGATTCGAAGCCAGAAAAACTGAGTTTATCTTCAAGTTAATGTTATGGATTGGCTAGGTTATTGGATAAATATGGATAAGGAACAAAAAGAGAACTTGTTTATACTTGAACATGAAATTATTCATTTCAGAATTATCATCACTATTATTAAACATTGAACTAAATCAATGTTTTGTCTTATTAATTTATTAAGGAATATACTAAAATAATTTTTGTGAATGATTGTAAATAGTGAAATGGAATCAATGCTTCATAACAAGGGAGAAGAATCATTATTTCTTTTAATTGTTATCTTCATCATCATCCTTGAACTTGAAAAGACCATATTTTAGAACACTTCTAAACCACATTCTGATATATTCGGAAGAATATTTATCCTCATCATCCAATTCTTCATTTTCTTTTATCATTCTCTCCTTTTCTGAGTGGGCCAATTTGTTTCTTTCAATAGCCTCTTCTGGTCCTGCTTCGAATTCTGCTTCACTCATCGATTTATAATCCATATCCTTGACATGACCATGTTTAATCAAATAATTGTAGAGCTGTGGATTAACTTTAGAAATGAGTTCAATTATTATGCTTCTGCAAGGTTGTATCATGGCAATTTCTTTGAACAAGTGGTTGTAATTGGCACTTTCAATATCTGCAATCATTGAGAATACCACAAACGAAGAGTCATCTTCGAATGTTGCCTTGTCTAATGTTAATATCACATTTTCATCATTCTTATGAATAAATGTTGTTCTTTGTACTTCGATTGCATACTTCTCTTCTTTTAAAAAAGTAATTAAGCAAGGAATATTGTTAAGAGCATCAAAGTCCATAACTTTTTCCTGATATTCAATCACTCCACTGTCCATTTGCTTTGTTCTCTTAATATAAATAAGGCATCTTTCTATGACCATGTTGAAAAATCTTAAACAAAATATTATTTTGCATGAGAGTACCTTCTTTGGAATCATAGAAATATTCAGTGTGGTATGTAATTTCCTTTTGATCGAACATTTCTTTCCATGAGCTCTGGCTGAACTCTTCTAATGGCATGATAAAATTTAATGTGGCTTGAGACGCAGAGCTAGAAACAGTTTCGCGCAAGCAACCAAGTAAGCTAGCAGGTAATCCTGATTGTATCATTTTTTTGGTTTCGTACAATCAAAAGGGGTTTTCTCTTATCAGCCCGTTCGGAAGCATCCAATTGGATTAGGCCTTAGTAATAATACCAAAGATCAAATGTTGTGTTTGTGGATGGATCAATGACAAATTCAGTATCAATAATTTATTAATAAGTATAAATGTTTGTGTAACTAATAAATGTATATATTTGTGTGTATTTATTAAATAAAAGAATAATTATATCATTTGAATTGGTTTAGGAGGACCTCTACATCTAATTTCTCTCAAAACTTGTGCAGAACTACAACATGAACAAAATGTTCCAACACAACAATCAGTACAAGCATTTCCCTATTATTATTTTACATATTCACACATTCCATATATTTATATAAAATTATCAATATATTCCAATAATTATATCAATTCACAAATATATCCATTCACAAATACATATATCAAATCAATTAAAATTTGAAAACCTACTTGTTGAATTCCATATAATTTTCTTGTAATATTTCTAACAATGGTTGACATTATGGTTGGAAAACAACAACTGATACAACAAGTACACCACCAAGATGATTGATTATTTTTCACATATTTCAAAGCATCAGCATTAGCACATGGTAAACAACAACAAGTGTAACATGTTTCATTAAAATCTCTAGCAGGATATATTTTACAATTCAATTCTTTCTGAGATTGTAATTTAGGTGTAAAAAATTTATCAGTTTCTGTAAAATTATCCGAATCTGAATCTTGTGAATCATCGTAATCAACATTTTGATGTTGTGATTCTTCATCATCTTCATCATCATATTCAACATTATTTTGAATGACAAAATATTTAGTTTCTGATTTGGAATTTGTTTTCACACTTAATTCTCCGGAGGAAAATAATCCTGAAGACCATTCCTTCTTTTTGTATTTTAATTTATTTGGTGAAAGAATTGGTTCCACTACTTGTTGTTGTTTACTTTTAAATGATGATGATGATGATAGTGTGGAATTATCTTCGTCATCGTGGTAAATGACTGCTGACATTTTTTTTTGAGATATTTGAAATGTGATTATAATCATAGAGATGTTGATGAATATTGGTGTTGATAGATATGCCTCATTAGTTTGTTGTTTTGGTGTTGGGTAAAACGATGATTGATAATTATTGTAATGAGAGAAATTGAAATTTCATTTGAAAAATTGTAATGAATTTACGCACATACGTTGATGAATGATTAAGGAATTATCGAACATTGAGGGAATGAAGAACAATGTTTTAAATATCTTTAAATTTTTGATGTTGTTTTAAAGAGGGGATTCTCGGAAGTTTCAACTCCGAATCAAATTCAAAAAAAAATAGGCTTCATCTTGTTGTTTTCAGAGAGAGAGAAAACATTAGCCTTTGGAAGAATTTTAGTATTTTATTAAATAGTATTAATAGTAAATTATAATGGTATTGGGAATATTTGGATCATCGGTACGAATTGAAGATGGACGTTGTTCATTAGCACATCAGGTAGGAAGATTTTATTAAACAAATTAAATATTTATTTCATCATCATCATTATATTAATAATTCTATCATGATTATTATTATCGGAAATATTAAAATAATATTGTTAATATATATTTGTTAATATATATTTAAAATATATATTTAATATAGAATTTAACTCAAGTACCATATGAATTATTTTCTAAAAAACAATTAAAGAAAGTTATTGATTTGGATTTATCACATAATGAAATTGAATTTCAAGGATTACAACATTTAAATCAATTTGAAAATTTAAAAACACTTGTTTTGGATCATAATTTAATTAAGAGTGATGTAAATTTAAATATGGGAAAACCATTACCTAATCTTGAATTATTATGGGTAAATTCGAATAATATTACTAATTTATCGGCGTTTATTGAAAGAGTTAAAGTTGTTTGTCCAAATTTACAATATTTCAGTATGATGGCTAATAAGGCTTGCCCAAACTTTTTTGTTGGAGGAACTCCAGAATTATATCAAGATTATAGACATTTTGTAATTAGTAGATTACCAAAATTAAAAGTTTTAGATCAAAATAATGTTACAGATGAAGAACGTCAACAGGCTCTTCAACATTATGCAAATTTGAAAATTCAACCAACAACTAATACAGTGACAAGTAATCATTTAAATAGACCAAGTATTTAATAATTATATTTAATAATTGAATAAAATGTAAATAAAAAAATATTAAAAAATAGATATATTTATGGAGTAATTTCATACAATCGAACACTATAATCCAAACTACATGAAAGTAATTCCAATCTAATTCCATTTGGATTTGAGGCATCAACTCTCCATTTAACACGACGAACAGTTAAACAATGTGAATCATTAGATGGAACTTCAAACTTCTTTTCCATTTTGATAACATTTTCATCAGTACTAACATTATCATATATTTGTATAGAACCATCTTCCATACCAATAGCTAATAAATATGGACTCAAATTCTTACTAGCAAAATATTCCTTAAATTCTTGATAAACTACTGTTGGAATGAATTGAATGGTTGTAACTGGATGATCCATCTTAATAGCTTGAGCAACTTCCAAAGATTGATTCTTTTCATTACTTTCTCTGATAGCATTAGCTGCTTCTTCTGATGGTAATTTGAAAATCTTGATCACTTCATCACGTGAACCAGTTGCAACATACTTGTCATCATAAGTGAATGAAGCATCCCAAATAATACGTTCGTGACATTGTTGATAGAGTAAAGGAGAGTAGGTTGTGTTTTCTTCAACAGTCTTCTTTTGATATAAAATTAAACATCTATCTCTACTGACAGAACACATCCATTCATCATTATTACTGAATGCAATTCTACTGACAGTCAAATTGTGACCAGGAATAACATCAATTGGTCTAAAATCATTCTTAATATCCCATAAACGAATTTGAGCAGCGTTAGCTTGTTTGGCAGAACATGCTGTAGCCAAAATAGTCTTGGAATTATTGGAACTGACACAAATAATTTCATTAGCATGACCATAGAGTTTTTGTTGTTCTGGCCATAAAGTCAATTGTAAAAGTTGAGTTTCAAAAGGTGGATGGGTAAGAGCACTATTATTACCACTAGAAAAGACAGAGAATGGATTCTTTTGTGAGGAAGCATCAAGAACATCCAAATCTTCTTCCTCCTCTTCCTTTTCATATTCAAATTCATTGACAGTAATCATATCCTTTTCTTCTCCTTCTCTAATTGACTTGTTAGTCAAACCTAATGGTTGAACAGTAGCAGCCATAACTCTTTCTCTAGTCTTACCATATGCTTCATAGTGCTTTCCAGCCATCGAGTTCAAATTAGAAAGTGTATTGATGAATGATTGAGGAGCATCCAAATAACGAATAACCTTTTCGTCACCACCACTGGCAAATGAGTAATAATCAGTAAATGCGAGACAATTCATATCGTAACCGTGAATTTGAGATCTAGCAATTTCTCTAACTGATCTATTCTCTAATGATTGATAATTCAAAGAATCAACATCCTCAACTTTAGTAGTATCTACAGTATCAATCCAAGTGAAACATCTAGTAGTTTGATCTGATGAAGTTGTCATAAAATAAAGACCATCCTTGGATGGTTCAACATCGAGATCCATAACACTATTAAAGTGGCCAGAAATACTGACCATTGGTTTCCATTCATTTTCCTTTTCTCTCAATTTCCACAAGTGGAAGCTTCCATGGAAAGCAGTACCCATACAGTAATCAGCAAACATTGAGAAACAACCACTGAAATAACCCATTTGACCAAATAAACCACTCAAACCACCAAATTCACCCATTCTGAATTGATTCAACCAAACTCCTCCCTTTGATGTTGGAGACCAAATAGTCATTGTACGATCCATAGATGTACTAACTAATTGTAACATGTTTGGAATTGGATGCCAGTTAAGAGAGTGGACCCAATCTTCATGACCAGTCAAAAGTGCATCCAATGTTAATTGATAATAGCTTGATTCAAATGAAAAATGATAAGTATTATACAAGTTAACAAGTAATTCTTCTTCTAACAAACTATCAGATGTCTTGGAATGATTGGCATCTTGTTCTGTAACTTTAGTAATTTTCCACAATCTAATTCTATTATCTTGACTGGCACTGGCCAAATAAACACAATTATCGATTGGAATAAATTTAAATGACAAGGCACGAATCCAATCTTCATGTCCCTTTAAAACTAGCACAGATTTGTTCGATTCCAAAAAGTATAAATGAATATTAAAATCAACACCACCACAAGCAACCATATAATGATCAAAAAGCTTAATCATAGAAACAGCTTCAATAGCCTTATGATGTTTAAATGTTTGAATCAGTTCATATACCTGATTTTTCTTTTCATAAACAAAAACGTGACCATCAGAATCAGCAACAACAATGTATCTCTGTTCAAGTGATGTCACTTTTGTTAAATGTGTCTTTGATTTAATAGTTTGAACAATTTCATATGTAATCTCACTTTGATTAATATTTAATTTCCAAATAATAACTTCCTTTCCTCCGACACTTGTAATATAAATAGTATTATTATCAAATTCTTGACTATTAGAATAAATCATAAAAGAAACAGCATTCACTCTTTCAGTATGTCCTTTCAATGTACATAAAATTCTATTATAATATGGTGAATAAATAGCAACAAATTGATTAGCGGAATATGCAAATAAATCTAAATGTCTATACTTTTCCTTGATAGCTGCATCAACACGGATACAATTAGTATTGTCATAATCAATCTTTTGATTAGTATAAACTTGATTTTCATAAATATCAGAAGGTAATCTATACCAATCACTGCAGCCAGAAATTCTATTGGCTCCAATAGAAATAAATCTTTGATGAACGTTGTTGCCCGATGATGTTGTTGTTGTAGACATTTTTTTTGAAGGCTAGAAAAATTAAATGATGAAAAACACGGAGTGCAATTTCAAATATTGATATTCATATATTATTATTAGTAATAAAAGAATCATCATCTGATGCAATTTGCTCTTGTCAATATTTGTAGTATGAATAATGGTAGTACTATTCAATTTTTTGTTTTTAATTGACTTGTTGATGACAATTTTCAAAACCTTTTGTGCGTTAATGAGAATCTAGCTTTCAGAATGAGATTTTCCATTGAGGTTGGCTTTATTGTTAATAGTCAACTTATAAAGGACAATGGTACTAAGAATAATCAGTAGTTTCCCGCCTTTTCTTTGTACAAAAAACAAACTTGAAAAAATGAATCACAGTTATCACGACGATGATGAGGATGAAATGATGATTAAATCATCAATGGAAAGAGAGGATACATACGATCCAAACGAATACAACTATGGAGGCAATGATAACGAACATAATGAAGATTATGATGAGGCTGCATTAGAGGAAGATGATGATGATCAATACAGTGATGAGGAAATTCCTTCGGGAGGCCACAATTTTAATTTCTTCATACAAGGAGGTAAAATTCCAATAAGACAAACACCAATTGCACCAACCCTATCTGAAGATAAGAGTAGTGATAGGAAAATTAAGGAAGATGATGACTTTGAATACAATATGGATGAAAGTGAAGATGATGAAATCTATCCAATCAGCTCAGATGAGGATGATGACCCTCCAGCAGCACTTCAACAGCTCAAACCTAGTATTCAAACGGTGATTAGGAGGAAATCTCCAATGAAGAATACTGAAGAAAAAGTTACACATTCTCCTCAATCGAATAGTAGACCTTCATCTAATTCATCGAATAAGATAAGAGCAACACCAACAAAAACAACAGCACCAGTTTTGCATGATAGTCCTGAACAAAATAATGTTGTTCCTAGACCAAAACTTTCTCTTGGAGCTGTCAGTAGATATACAGATGATGACGATGTGAGGTCATTAACATCTAGTAGAACAAACAGTGATAATCTTTCGATAGGAGAAGATAAAATGAAAAATCAACTCGATTATTTGAAACAAAAACAAGAACAACTGTACAAACTCAACCAACAGCTCAATGTGGAAACAAAACAAGTTCTCAAAGAAACAGATGATATTGTAAAACAACAATCTAAAAAGGTGGAAAGTATCTCATCAAGAATTCCTTCTAGGCCGACAAGTAGTGCATCAACAGTGAGGTCCAATACACCATCGAGTACTCATAGATCCAATGTCTCAACTGCAACAACTACAAGACCTTCTAGTGCACAACCTTCAGCAAAAAAGAAAGTAATGGAAAAAATTGAAGAAGCCAATCAATATGAAGATGATGACCTGGATAAGGCAGCAAACGAAATGAGTGTCGAAGCAGCCATGAAATTCTATAAGGCAAGAGTAAAATCACTCCAAAAAGATATTCAAGATTATTCCAATCAAATGAAACTCAAAGATGATAAAATCAAGGAACTGGATATTAAATATAATGCTGCCATGATAGAAAACAAAAAGGTTACAAAAGCTCAAACCCAATTCCATTCTAGATTGGATAGACAGAGAAAGGAGTTTGATGCTCTTCAACTAAAGTTCAAAAAACAAACAACACTCATGAATGAGATGCAAAAAGAAAATGAAAAGCTGAAACAAAATCTGAGGATGGATGGACCTGTATCAAACAAGGAAGTTGAACCAACCTCTGGAAACAATAACGACAGAATCAAAGATCTTAAATATACAAGAGCTTTGGAAGAAGTTGAAAAGCTAAAGAGTCAATTGTCAGAAGCTCAAAAACAACAGAGAGAAGATAATGATAAACAAAGGAAGGATACCGAAAATTTGAGAAAGGACAATAAGCGATTAGAAAGACAGAAACAAGATATTGTTTTGGCCTTCAAAAAACAAATGAAATTAATAGATGTTCTAAAGAGGCAGATAATTCATTTAGAAGCATCAAAGCAACTATCGTTTACAGAAGAAGAATTTACATCACTTATGAATCAATAAATTATATGTATTCATCATCTAATAAGACTCGAGCATTATTTTGAGTATGTAAATAGTCAACTGTACTATTGACCAATTCGTAAACTTTCTTATTTTCACAAACATTGACATGTTTTATGAAAATTTTGTAAAAATCGTCCTTAAATAAAATGTTTGTTGTTGAATCCTCATTAAATGCAATAGTATTAAATTCTGTGAGTGCTGTATATTTATACCTTTCAATGATTTTTGTCATTTCCTTTTCATCAGAAACCTGTACACTGTCATTACATGTTACTACACTGTTAATACACAAAAATATTGGAATATCTTTGAAAAGTTCCTTATATTCATTTAGAATATCCTTGAGTAATAAAATAGATTTTTTAAAGTCGTGATATATGGATATTTGTAATTTTGTTATTCCATTGGAAAGGGTTATTTCATCGTTAAAACTCAACACTGATTCATATTCTTTTTTTTCCTCTTTTTCCTCCACTATCTCTTTAAGAATGTCTATTTCAATTAAATACTTGGCAACAAAGAATATACCATGTGTTGATTTGTAATAATCACTCCACATTGACTTTAAATTTCCACCAATATCCCATATCTTTAAAAAACAGTAATTTGCATAATTAAAATTAAATGTATTCTGTCCAATAGTTGGATTATAGAATTTCCGACTTGATTTAGAGTATAAATTATTAAAATTAAATTGAAATATAGTTGATAGAGGCGATTTAGAGTCAAGTGTCATTATTTTAGAAGGTGAGTGAGAAAATATTTCCTGTTTGTTCATGTTTTTAATTGTTTGTAATAATTCTGTTTTCCCACTATTCTCCATCCCGATCAATAACAAATTGTAGGTTGGTGTAAAGCTGAGTTTTTCATAAACCAACTCGAATAGTGATAACATTTTTAGGCTTTTTTTATTATTATTTGATGATCAAACAATAATGAAATAGAAAAACTTCCGATTCGTGTTCTTCTTCAGCACCTGTAACATCATGCATTGTACAATCAAAATATTGGACCATCGAGTCACCTCTCTAATTCAAAATTATTCTTTTGGTTCTGGAATTTTGAAAGGACTTGTTCCATTATTAATTTGTAAAAGTACAACTCTAGGATCTTCTCCATTCACTTTACATCCTATACTAACACAAGTTCCTAATACTTCCTTTACTTTTGCTGTTAATGTTCTTGCTGTTTTACTAGATTTCTTAGTTTGTGCTATATGAATTAATTGATCAAAAGTCAAATTTCCATCATGAACAACATGATATTGTTTGTCACTTGGAGCCTCTCCTAAATTTGATATAACAAATAGAGGCGAATGTTCTGCCAATTCCAAATCAATCATATCCCTAGATTTTACAATAAATCTAACAGTAATATGTTTAGCAGACCAATTCAAAGCCTGAACCAATTCAGTAATTCTCTGAGAGATTACTTTAGGCGAAATTCCGAGTGGACCAAACACTGGTGCAAGTTTACCAGGATTTGGTTGTTGAGATCTCACTTTCACTACTAAAATAAGTGGATTATCTATTGAGTAATTTTTAGAAGTGGGCACGAGTTTTGTAGTAGTGCCAAAGCCTAAGGATGGCGAGTAGGTTAGTGTTGACATTTTTTTTGGATTTATTGTTAAGAATGAACTTTGAATCTCCACTTGGAAATGTACTTTGTAAATTGTTTAATGTAGTTGTATTACAAAATTGTAATCAACCTTAAAGAATATTAATGCATTCTTGTAAACTATTACAGATCCAGGAAAATCAGTGATTGGATCACTTCAACGTTAACAACCCTTCACTCATCACTGTTTGTTATCTCCTTTCCATTTTGTTCGTCTTTTTCTTGACTGAAGACAAGTCCAACGTTATTTTCAGAGTTGATGAGTTTCAACCTTATCATCCTCTTATTGATCATAATCGTCATCTTCTTTGCAACAGTAAATAATTTAAACTTTCAATGCTTTTCTCACAACAACAACACTCTCCAATATATTTTCAATGAACAAGTGGCGCCAATTCCAAGCTAACTAAAATTCCCTTCTTCTTCTTCATGCTAACGAAAACGATAACAATTCGCTCACCACCATCTAGGTTCAGTTATTTGGCAGCTTGAAAAAATAATACAAAAAAATGGGCAATCAACCTGGCAAAAATAAGCAATATAGAAAGAATGAGTTGAAGAAACTCGTAGAGATCACCCACTTTGATATGGATGAAATCATGAAGCTTTATGAACAATTTATTTCTATTTCATCCTCTCGTGAAGATGATGGTGTGATAGATAAAAATGAATTTAAGGAAGCTCTTGGCTTGAAGGATTCTCTTTTCGTTGATAGAATGTTCTCCTTGTTTGATGGTGATAATGATGGTACTATTGGTATGTAAATTATTGTATAGTAACGAATTAATCATAGGCTAATTAATACAATAATAATAATATTATTTTATTCGTGATGATGAACTTGCAATAACCGAAAATTGTAGATGTAAGAGAATTCATTTGTGGATTGTCTGTATTTTGCGAAAAGGGAACCATTGATGAAAAACTCAAGTTCTCTTTCAGAATTTATGATTTTGATAAAGATGGTTGTATTAGCAAGGAAGAATTGTACAAACTTTTAGAAGCTTCACTCGTTGAAAACTCACTAGGTATTCCACAAGAACAATTATCATCATTGGTTGATGCTACTTTTGCTGAAGCTGATACAGACGGAGATGGCAAAATATCTGTAAGTTGTTTTAATTAGAGATTTCATGTATCTAATCTACTTGTTTAAACAATTCAACAACAACAACAATAATAGTTTGAGGAATATCGTGTACTTGTTACTAAACATCCAACTATGATCGGAAATATGACTATCAATACCTCAATTAAGAAGTAAACCAAATTGTAATTTTTAATTCATTCTTCAAGCTTGGGGAATTTCATTTCCCTTATCATTTGAAACATCAAATCTCTATAAACTTCTCCTTTTCTAATAGTAGATTTGTAAGAAAACATCCAGACGTGGTGTTTTTTCTCACTTCTCTGATCATCAACTCTATGAATTATAACAACTAATTCATACATTACACTCTCCAAAGAGACGGAATGTGCAACCTGTAGCCAATTTACGTGAATGGTTTTTGTATCCTTCTTGATTGCAACAACTTCTGGAATTGTTTCGTCAGTATCTTCTTGATTACTGTTGCTAGTACTTGTTGATAGTGTATTATTTTGTAAATCGAATGATCTCAAATCGCTAATAATCTCAACATTCTGATCCATAATCAGACTTTTAACATACTGGGCAACATCGTGTTCAGACATTTCGCTCGGGGTATTTTCAGGTGACAATAATTGAGATATCTCAAATCGGTCAATGTGAACATCATTTGGGTCGGTCGATGTACTTGATTTGAATTCTAATGGACTTGTAAAAACAATGGAATCACTTGTCTTATTTTCTTGCCATCCAAATGGAACTCTTAACCACAAATATTCAAATAGATCACTGTAGAGAACATTTAACATTTCAAATCCTTGCACAAACTCTGAATTGGTTACAATTTGATGAGCTATGGATTGATTCTTCAATGCACAATTTGAAATATATCTTACAACAATTGCACTCGAACTACCAATATCCACAACACAAACATATTGAAATAGAGTATTTCCAGATTCAACATATTGAAATAGGAATGTATAATAGTAATATCCCAATTTTGTAGAACTTTCTAATGGAATATCAGTGAAATTCTTATACTTGCTCATACTATTCACATAAACTTCTCTCTGATCAGCCAACCCAACTTCCAACTCAATCTTTAAACAATCTAATCGATGTTCTGGATCATAAATTTCAGTTGGTGATCGACACAACACTCTCATCTCATCTATTTTTTCTAATCTCCATCCAATTGGATAAAACAAATTTCCAATATATTTAATTCTTTCACTTTTTTGAAAATTAGTTTTAGAAATTACAGTTGAATGAACACTTTCTAATCCATCAATGTTTTGAAATGTAGTATTGTTATTATTATTCATATGAATGTTATTAATTTTAGAATTCTTTTCATCTTGTGAATGAAAAGCTTCAACTAATTCTTCATTTGGATAATCACAAAGTGTTGAAAATTTCATTTGAACCACTAAATTTAATTCTCCATGTTGTACATTTTCCAATTTTAGATTAAATTTTCCATTATCAGAATTTAAAACATCAATAATTGAAAGTTTACAATTTCCACAAAAATCATCTTTGAAAAAATCTTTATCCCAAACTTGAATTTCAATAAAATCCAATTTATCCTTATTAATACAATGAATATTTTCATTATTTGGTGTTGAAATTGTAATATTTTGTAATTTTGCTAAATTATTTGGCATTTTGTAATGTGATTTTTTCACTTGTAAATTAAATTCATCTCCCAAATGACCAATATTATACGCACAAGGTAATAATTGTTTTTGTAAAGTATTAATAGTATTATTGTAATGATTATTTAATTGTGCATCAAGTATCCACATGAAAGTTTCATCATATTTCGGATTTAGATTTTTAAATTTAATGCTCGACATTAAAGATATTCCTCCATAACTAATAATTACATACTACATTTAAATAGTTAAATAATTTAAATATTTTGTAAAAAACTTACAGGATCACTGAGTCCATTTTCATCCATCGGAATAATATTTGAACCATGTTTTAATTTAACAACTAATCTATCATAATGTTCAACATTTAATTGTACTTTTTGATGTTTTGACATTTTTTTGATTTTTTTAGACAGTTGACTTTCAAATCCAACATTATTGATTGTTACTCTCCCAAAAAGATCCATTTTCAAGAATTATTTATAAAGTTTACAATAAAACAATCAAACAAATAATCATTACAATAACCATCAATGATTGCATAATATTACAATTTGCCAAACTTGCAATTCTCCACTTTTCATCTAAAACCCATTGATTCATTCCATTCATTGAACTTCTCATTGCAACTGTCAAATTTCCAAATGCCCAAGTTTTCCAACTGTCATCTTGAGGATAGAAATATTCACCAACTTTTGAATTAACAAATGGACAAAATTGTGCACTTCTATCTGGTAAATTTTGATAAAATCTACAATTCAATTGCATTAAAAAGTAATTTTGATAGGCATCTTGTGGAAATGTTCCAATTTCCCATGCAGTTGGAACGATGGTTAAATTGGCCTCACTTCCACTCATTAAGGCATGATCCTTAATGAAATGACCAAAGTATTTACCACTTGGGAATGGAAATAAATTGTCGTGAATGTATTCATTCTTGAGGAGGTATTGCTTAGCGAAGGGGATCCATTCAGGATCGAACATGGCATACACATTTCCATACTCGCCAACAGCACTGTGCAAGTCAATATATAAAACCTTTCTACTCTTGGTATATTCGGAGGAGTAACCCTTCAAGAGTTGATTCAAAATGATTTTGACTTGCTTGGCAGTCCATTCTTCAGTGGTTCCTGCGTAGGCAATTCCAATTTGTCTGTGAATTTGTCCAATGACTGATGATTGTGTGAATGCTGGAAGACCGACCTTTGCCAATAGAGTGTAAAAGTAGTTGACTGCTTGTGCTTGAACTGTGTCCAAGTGAAGATGTGAAATATTCATACCATCAATGAATTGTTCCAATAAAACGTTCTTTGAAATTTCCCAACCAGGTGCATCAATGTAATGTTCATTCAGATTCTTCAACATGTCGACATTGTTTTCATTTTCCTTTGTTGCATAACTGGCTCCGTATGGATTTAACATGTGAATGTGAACAGGATAGGTGTTATCAGGAAGATTGAATTGATACTTGGTGTCGTTCTTAATCATGGCAATTTGAATTGGACTACCAACAAATCCCTCTTGTCCATGGACACCAGAGAATGTTAGGAAAACATTGGATTCAGCCTTATTCTTCAACATGTTGGCACGTTCTTCATGGAAGCATGCAGACATGTACAATTTTTCATTATTAAGACCAAGAATGGAAGGAAGCTCATACTCTGAATACTTGTAACCACTTGTTGCTTGACAAACTTGTTTAAACTTTTGATCGGCTTCAACATAGTTCGATGAAAAGTAGTCGAGTTAATAAGTTTGGCTGTTGTTACTAATGACAACATGATGGTCATAGCCATGAGAAAGGCCATGCATGCAGTAAAAGTTGTAGCTGAAACTAACTTGTTAGTGATGATACCTCTTGAGAAGGACATGTTTTTTTCTTCAATGAAAAATATCATTGCAGGCCCAGTTGAGCTTTTTAAATGTTTATCATGGCTGTTTTAAGACTGTACTAACTCTTTGCTGTAGTGTTGATGTATTACAGTTCCCTTTGTAAAAAAGGATGAATGGTCATTGAAGATAACATGCTTAATTGGAAGGTGTTACTTTTCATCTAATTGAACTTGGAACTCTATATCTTACTACACACTTATTGAGGCAAATGATGAATTTGGTAGAAATTACAAATTGCCAGTAAAGGAACATAATTCCCTTTCGTTGGTATGTCTCTAATTTCACCACCTCCATCTTTCTCCTCAAGAGAAAGAGAGCAAACTTAATTAGCTTTCATCAATTCCGATTTTTATCATCATAGGAACAATGTTCAAACTGTTCAGGTATCATAATGGCTTTTTCTTTTTGTGGTTAAAGATTTCAAAATGTCCATTCCTCAAAGAATTGACTCAACGAAGTTTTTATTCAAATACATATTTAATCCATTATTATTATGATTGATTCATTGATTGGTTGTTGATTCATACATATTGAATCATTTTCAGCATCTAATTGAATCAATTAGAAACAATTAGTCAATACTTTAATATCTTGAGCAGCATCTGGTTGAGAACCATCATTGGCCTCTCTCATCAACTCTGGTAAATTACCAACAATTGTAACATGTAATTCATCACCTTTAACAGCATATTCATTCAAATTACAACCATTGCTTTGAGTAGATGATGGATCATGTTTAATGTGGAGAATCATCTTTTTCAATTCCATAAAAGCTTCCTTACAATCTGGATCTTTACAGAATTGAACTGGTAAATCTTCACACAAATAGGTAATTCTTCTAGAGAATTTCAAATAGAGAATGACATTCTCTTTGGCACTCAATTCTTCTCTTCTGGCTTTCCATTTGAGATCTTCTGGAAGAGATAGAATTGATTCCCAATCAATAAGAAGGATCATGTTTGGATTGACCTTTTGCAATTCTTTAATCTTGTCAGTAATCTTGTAACTGAACAAATCACGAGCTAATTTCTTGAAAGCCAAACCACCATTCTTTGGCAAGAATTCTTCTTCATAATTTACCAACATTTTTTAAACTTGTTTTTTAATTGTTGTAAAGTGAGCAGACTGAATGCTGTCAATATTTAAACTGTTTTAACCTCCGCATGTTTAACATTTATCCATGTGTGTTGATTGAATGGTTGTTGGTTTTTCCATTGGATTTTGGAAAGGGATAATTATTGGAATCGGCTAAAGTTGGAGTCCACCCTTGACTTGATTACTAATGGGAAAATCATGGATTTGTCCATTCTGGGAAGTTGATATGCTAAGGTTGACTAGAATTTAAACAATTCATTTCGAAATGCATACTTACATTTCATTACAATTGAATTACAAATACATGGAAATTATACAATGCTATAATAAACAATTTTTGGATTGTTTCATTCTTTTCTTCATTTGCTTTTTAGAAATTTCAATAAATTTAGAGTCATATTTTACAATCTCTTTTAAGAGAGTTAGATTATCATTAGATCCATATCTATTTCGTCTTACACATTCTTCAAATAGCAATTTAGTATTTTCTCCTGTTTTGGCACTGGATGTAAAAATTGCAGTATTTTTCAATTGATTTCTTTCAATAATCGAATTAATCAAATTTGTATATTTCTCAATCACTTGCTCTCTATTCGAATCGTTCAATAAATCAACCTTATTTAATGCAAATATAACTGGAAAATAATTAATTTCCCTACACTTCAATTTAATTACTTGTTCCACCACCCTTTCTGATTGTTCCACTGTCTTTTCATCCACAACATCACAAACATTAATAAACGTATCTCCTGATCTCATGTAATAATCTGTCATTGCCTTAATAAGTAATATTAATAAACACATTTAGAATTTAAAACACGTACAGAATAATCTTCAATGCCAGCAGGATCTATCACATCTATCATGACAGGTAAATTATCAACTTGTAATAGTTTTCTATATGGTTCATCTGTAGTTGGATCGTAGAATTCTATAAAATGTCCATGGAAGCAATTGATTGTAATGGAAGATTTACCTGTTCCCAATGTAGAGATGAGTATTAATTTCAAATATTATTAATACTAACCTACTCCTCCTGCTCCAATCATTACTATCTTTGTTTCTTCAACTTTATTCCAAGGTTGTTTGCAAATATTGAATTTGATGAAAATAGCAATCAATACTTTTCTCTTCAATTCTCCCTTTACAATTTCATCTTTCAATAAGCTAAATTCATTTTCCAATAGTGGATTATATCCAATACAAGTTTCCCATACTTTCCACCAAAATTTGTCGAAATAAATAGTCATCTCTGGCATGGAAGAAATTTTCCTATTTAATGATTGAAAATTGAGAATAAATTTAATATGTATTTTAATTTCTTGTGATCGTTGCTGAATGGACAAAAGATTCGTTCCGAATTCTAAAATATGTTGAAGAATTTCAGAGGGAAGTGATAAAAATTGAGTTGAGCAGTTTTGCATTTTTTTTCAAATTTTCAAAAAAAATAGTTTTTTGAGTTGGTTGGGGAAGTGAGGTGTATTGGAATAATGTTTGAAAATTGAAAATAATGATTTGGGTAGATAATTATTAATAAAATTAAAATAACAGGGGGCGAGGGGGAATCGAACCCCCGGCCACAGCTTTGGAGGCTGCGATGTTACCATTACACCACCGCCCCTGTTGAAATAATTTATTATTTTCCATCATTCACAATATCTTAAAATAACGTCTATTTTACATTTCACTTGCTTTTTGAGATTTGTTTCAAACTCTTGCACTACAATATTTTTCTGCCACTTTCTTATTAAACGACTTGAGGGGGCGCTGTGCTTATTTTCCAGCCAAAATTTTTGTAATGATGAGCCATACTGTTGTTGTCGTTTGGTGGGATGAAATATTGTGGTGGATCTATTATATCCAAGTTTACTTAAAAAAAATGGAAGAACCAGCAACAACACTCACTATGATTGATCTTCATCCAATCTCTCCGAATTTATTTACAAAATTGAAAGAAAAATTTAAATCACCTTCTCTTGTGGAATTTTCCCATACAAATTGATGCAATTTCTAATAGTTCCCATATGTTCTCATACAAATTGATGCAATTTCTAATAGTTCTTTTAATATGGCAATTTGTAGGGAATTTAATTATTTAGTTACTGGTTCTCATGACTCTTTAGAAATCTATGATTTGATCACTCATCAACCAATTCAAGAAACAATTCATTTTAGTGAAGGAATTTATGGAATTGATTTTGAAAGGGAAAATTCAGGACAGTGGAACTTGATACTCTCCACCTGGAATAATTATTTTGTAAAATATGATTTCAATAGAATATTGAGTGAAAAGAGTTTTGGTGAACCAATTTTTAAAGTTCCAATTAAATTTGCTTGGGCTGTCAGATGTTTTAAAACTGAACTTTATGTCATTGATTATGATTCAAAAATATTTGTATTCGATTTGAAATCAGGCTTAGAAAAAACAGAGATTACTGTTGGATTGGAAGATGAAATGGTGGATATGGTTTTCACACCAGAAGAGGAAATGATTGTTTGTGGAAGTAATCAGTGGCACATTCTCAAATTTAATGAAAATTCTTCTTGTTGGGAAAAGATTAAAAGCTATTCGAATGAAAATGGACCAGTGAGAATTAATAGATGTTTTGGTGTTTGGTATGAAAGAAAGACGAAACTAATTTATTTGACCGATAATGGGGGCAAAATATTCATATTCGATAGAGAACTCAATCTTGTGAAGGAAATCAAAGTATCTGGACTCTATGAGATTGTAATTAATGAACAGAATGGAGAAATGTTCGTTTGTGATAAAGATAAAAATCAACTAATCATTTACAAATAACACTTAACAATCCTCTGATAGAAGCTTAGATAATGCTAGGAGTTGTTTCTCAACAAGATAGTTCAGAGTAACCAGAAGAAAATCAAACCAGAGAATGATCTTAACAGACCTTAATACTTGATATTATTTAACTGCTTCTAAAAAATGTCCACTTGTGCACTGCATTAAATATGATATTGTGAATAAATGAATAAGTTCAACAGGGGCGGTGGTGTAATGGTAACATCCAAAGCTGTGGCCGGGGGTTCGATTCCCCCTCGCCCCCTGTTATTTTAATTTTACTCACTTAACTTTTAATGGAACAACTCGGCTTTTCAGTCTTGCAAATAGGAACTTTCGGAATTAAAATTAAAAAAAATGATCAGAAAGTGGGAATTGAATGATGGCAGGATTATGCAAATTGAACAAGATTTGGACATTGTAAATAAAGAATTCGGAGCCATTGTATGGGATTGTGCATTGTATGTAAATGATGATCAATGTAAAATTGACCTTTTCCAATATAACTATATTTTGATCAATTATTTGAAAATACAAAAAGGGTATTGTCTAAATATTTGGAAAATGAAAAAGTATTTCCGAAAGGCTTTTTTAAAGGAAAAACAATTTTAGGTAAATAATATCTGATTTGTTTAAGAATAATTAAAAATCAAAAGACTTGGGATCGGGAACTGGATTTATTGGAATTTTATTAATGATCAAAGGAGCAACTGTTCACTTTACTGATCGTCAAGTATTAATTCCACTCATTGAAAAGAATATCGATTTAAATTGTAAGATTGTTGAACAGGAACAAGAAGATAATGATATTGATGAAAAAGCTCCAATTTTAGCAAATCAATTTAAATGTTTTGAGTATTTATGGGGTGAACCAAATGAAATTGTGGAAAATACTGAATATGATTTTGTAATTGGATGTGATTGTATTTATGAATCAAAAGATATGTGGATGCCACTCTCAAAAGCATTACATGAACAGTTGGCAAGATCAAAGAATATTATTCTAGCTCATGAATTGAGAAGTCAAAAAGATTTCTCCTTCTGGCCTCATATTCAAGAAACATTTGAAGTTGAAAGAGTACCTACAGAATTATTGGACGAATTTTGGAGATGTGAAGCAATAAGAATATTCTATTTGACATTTAAATCAAATTGAAGTGATTTTTAATCTTCTCCCTATAAATGAAATCTTTCCACAAATATTTAGTCTTTTTGATTTCGAAATTTGAATTTTTAACATGGAGAGTTTTGTAACTTTCCTAAGTAACTAGCCCAAATTTGTGTGTTTGAATTTAACAATGAGTTGAGACTAGTACTGAATAAAAATTTCCAATCCACACAAACCACTTCATGGAACTTATTTCATCGGTGATAAATGGGATAATTGTCTAATTGTCAATAAAATTTTAAATTCTGGATATTTCAAATAAATTAGACATAAAATATCCAATGTTTTTAAAGAATTTGAAAGTTAGTGCCAAGATTGAATACTTTTATTAAGGGGTTAACATCTTTGACTACACTTATTGAGTGGTGATTTTGAATCATGGAATAGGAAATGCATGGTTGAGAAGATGGAAAGTGCACTTTCGTTTTTCATGCATTCCTCTGAACAAAAGTTTTTACAAAAGAGAGCTGGGACGAAAGGTCCTTCCCATTGACCAAGTGGCCAACACTTTTGGAAATGATGAGTAAAGAATAAAATAGCAGAGACAAAACCATCATTACCATACATTGGAACAACTGGCAAGAGAGTCAAACTACTCTTTGTCATTGTCGGATGATTCAGTAAATTGAGCCCATAATGCCTTCCCATCCCCGTTAGACAAGATCCTTTCGTATAGGATTTTTGTTGAGCTTGTGTTTCTGTGAGTGGAATCTCAACAGGTCTTTGACTATTTGGTGCTAAAATCAAACGATCACCAATTAAACCTCCAGAATGATCAAAAGCTCCAGAACATGCAAAGGAGGGATCACGAGTTGCAATTTCAATTTGATATTCTTGGTGTCCAACTTTGTGCCAGTACAATTCTTGAGTGTTTTCATGAATTCTTGCTCCAAAACCAGATAATTGACCTGCTTTGGTGTAATAGACAACAACTCGATCATTGATAAAGCCATAGCCGAGACCAGGGACGCATGCACCGTTATCAGTTTCGATTGGTTTAGACCACTTGGATGTGTACATGGCAGTTGTCAAATTCAATGGAATAGGACTCTTACTGAAGAAGGTGTGTTGCAAACGATCACCCAATCCAATAAATGAACCAGATGATTGTTCTGAAAGTACAACAGAAACAATCAAGACGAATATCAGAAGAATCACCTTGCACATTTTTTTCAATAAGATAACGATTCTCAAAATGAGTAGGTCCAAAATAGAACCAGGAGTTGAAGTGACAGTCCTTCCTCTGGATGTTTCACATTCGATTATTACAAAAAATTTGTAAACTAACTTGGTTGTCTATTACAAAGAGTTTAAACATTTACTTTACAATTTATTTAATTATCTAACCCACAACCATCCCATCAAAACACCATTTATAGGCATTGGGTTGTAACAACGGTAGTAATAAACACCAGTTCCTTACCATGAGGTTTTCCATCATAGGAACCACATTGAGAATGTGTTGGTGGGATAGAAATATTTAAATGCTAATGTAATTAAACATTTATTGTAAATATAAAACAAATAAATAATTAACAACATAAAGTTGTGTTCAATTGTTGATCCAAATGACAAAAATCTATAAGTGCTAGTATATTGTACAGTTGAGCTTCACCCTTTTTGTCGTATAAAAGTAACTCTCATAAAATTCAACACCTTTGGTACTGACACATGGACACAGAATGAACAATCAACGAACGATTTATCTTTACATACTGTTGCCACTTCCGTAGTAAAATTACGAGAAATTGGTTCTATACGTAAGATCATTGGATAATACTCATTTGGTATTTTAGTTCTAGAAAATATACCAGAGCCAGAATGTGAAAATACTATAGAGTTGGTACAATTAACAGAAGGTGTATCCAACGCAATGTTAATACCAGGAAAACCCGCTCCTGCGCAGTAAGAAGCTTGTATTCTGTAATTGAAACGAAATGTTGCACCAAAATTTTCACATTCTTGTTATGTGCCCAAGTAATAGAGAGGTTTTGATAAGAAAGTAATTTTGTACCTATAATCTGTCATACCAACTTTACTATTAATCCATCTTCTCGACGAATCAAAACCAATATTAAAAAGATTTGTTGCTTTGTTGTTTGGTATGACAATAGTGATAGGTTTATCGCCTGCAGTATAAATAACAGCGTCATTTGGCAAATTACCAGTGTTAATCAATAATTCTTCACAGTGTGTGAAAGCCAATAAAGCAAGCATAAAAAAAACAAAAATCGTGAATTTGGCCATTTTTTTAATTTATTTTTCTGACAGCAAGTCAATTCCGTCTCCTCAACAGAATTTCAATGACGAAATTACAATAGAAAAGTGTACTATCGAAGTCCATACAATCAACTCGCACACGTTCATGCACTCACATGCTTTATCCAAGAATAAATGCAAAGCTGTATTGTTGTTGCATAGATAAACATGTTCTTGGCTTGTTATCATGTTGGCAGTTGACTTTAGGTTGTTTTTGATTTGTGTTAAGGAATTCTCTTCGGTTTAGGTGTGAACCTGGTAAAAATGGTCACTAAGAACGCGACATGGTTTTATAAACAGCTCAAAACACAAGCTATTGTGCATCTATGCATTAACGATAATATGGGAAGAGTAGATTGGACCAAGATTTTCCTAATTAAAGTTAAAACGAGTATTAATTGATCATGTTCTGATCAATTCTTTTATTAAATGTACAATGTTTTTAAATGTTAGAGATATCTAGCATTGAAAATTAATTAAACTTGGCAAGAATATTCTTCTTCAATAATTGGTATTCATCCTTATCAATGAGTCCCTTCTCAAAAAGAGCACCAACTCTCTCAAGCTCACCAATGGCACCACCACCACCACCATTTGAAGATGTTGATGGAACTGAAACCTTATTAGCAGATTGAATTCTACTAGATTCCACACTCTTAAATTGATTATCAGGAACTTGATTTACAGAATTGTAACCCATTCTACTTGCAATTGAATTTCCAGTATTTGTTGCTCTTTCAATGGCTTCATCAGCTTCATCTTCCTGACTGTAGGTTCTTGATGGCTTATTTGGAGGTGGAGGAGTATTCATACTTGGTTTAGTTGGAATAGAAGGAGGAGGTGTTGATTTTCCAACACTGCTTCCACCATAAGGTGATGAGCTAGTAGTAGTTGTTGAATTTCCAAATGTTCTTGGACTTGGTTTAGTTGGAACGTTTGGTTGTGAAGATGGTGAAACCATTGGAACATCCAATCCAGGTGGTGGTTGCACAAGTGGTTTTGCTGTAATTGCAGGTCTAGAACCAACTTGTGGAGGAGGAGTATAACTTGATCCAAATGATGGTTGACTTCTAACAGGTGGTGGTGAATTATCAACAGATGGAGGAGATGTACTCTGTGGTTTTCCTGGAATTGGTGGAGGAACACCACGAGATGATGGAATTGGTGGAGCATTTCCTCTACTACTGTTACTATTAAATCCTGAAGATGTGGATGATGAATATGATGATGTAGATGAAGGAGGAGGTGTATCCATAGATGGTGGTGATGAATTATTATTCATTCCTCTAGATGGAATTGGTGGAGCATTTCCCTTTGGAGGTGGAACACTTGGTTTACTACCGAAAGATGGAAGTGATGGAGGTGGTTGTGGAGATTCTTCTTGTTGATCTCTTCTGGATGGAATTGGAGGAGCTGTACTGCCACCACCACCACCGAAACCACCACGAGGTTGTGGAACACTTGGTGGTTGTGGACGAGAGGAAGGTACAACTGGTGGTTGTGGTTTCGAACCGAAACCTCCACCACTACTGGTGCTGCTACCACCAAAGGATGGTTTTGGAGGAGGTGATTGAGAAGATGGAGAGGATTGTGGAGTACTGCTGCCTCCGCCTCCTCCTGCTTTCATTTGTCTCTTCTTCATCATTTCGTCCAACATTGGATTACCAGTTGGGACGAAACCACCTCCACCTCCCATACCACCACCACCACTACTACCACCACCATATGATGATCCACCACCACCTGAAGTAGGAGGACGTGCTGATCCACCACCACCACCTCCAGAACCACCACCACCACCTCCTTTTGGAGCATCTAACAAGGCACCATCACGAATTTTCTTTTCACTTTCTGGGACTTTCTTCAATCTGGCTCCCTTGTTAATATCACTTAAAAGATTGGCTCTACCTGCAGATGGAGCTTTTACTTGAACTGTTGAGGTTGGTGGAGGAGGTGGAGAGACACCAACTGGCGGAGGAGGAACTGGCATTGTAAAAAATTGTGTTAATTGTTAACAATTGTTATTGAAAATATTTTGCAAATGGATTTTGGATTATTATTCACTTGATTGTTGTGATCACCCTGTGTGGA